ATGATGTTATTGTTTACACGGTCGTCAAGGATACGCAGAGCGAATGTGCGCATCGTTTTCAAAAGTCTCCGTTTTGGTCCGTTTACACTGAAACACAACCCCGGAGTTTTCAAACTAAAACGGGGTCTGCAGCGTTTTCGAATGTCTCCGTTTTCGAGAGTAGTGTAAACGACAGGTGTAACCGTAGCAAAAGTTATGCGCTTTAAAACGAAAATGCACTCGTGTAAACGTAGCCTTATGCAGAAACCTTGTTGCTAGGAGACGCTTGACAAATGAAAACAATGTGTTCTAAATTGGCTGAAAATATCAAACATGTTTGAAATCCTCAGACTGGATAGAATTAAAGTCTGAGGTCTGTGACCATCATACACTACACGATTTTCTATGAAATCTGTCAACTCAAATCTGCAGACTGGCTCTTTTTTGACAACCAGCGTCAACTTCTCCAGACAGTAAATCTGCAGAAAATAAGGGCAAAAATAGTGTGGTGTATTCCAGCCTTAAATTGATCAAAAGTGACTGTAATGACTTTTACATTGTTACAAAATATATTTAAAATAAACGCTGTTCTTTTTTAGAAGTTTCTACTCAAAGAATCCTGAAAAAAAGTGACACAGCTTCCGCAAAAATATCAAGCAGCACAGCTGTTTTTTGATCATAATAAGAAATGTTTCTTAAGCAGCAAATCTGCAAATTTGAATAACTTCTGAAGGATCATGTGACACTGAAGACTTGAGTAATGATGCTAAAAATTTAGCTTTGAATCACAGGAATAAATTATATTTTAAAATATATTAAAATAGAAAACTGATACTTTCAATTATAATAATATTTCACAATATTACTATTTTTTTTACCATATTTTTGATCAAATAAATGCAGTCTTGGTGAACATAAACTTAAAAAAAATATATATATAATAATAATAATAATCTTACCGAACCCAAACCTTTGGACGGTAGTGAATGTATGTTTTTTGTTTGTTTTTTAATTTGAACTTTTTATTTCGCTTTTCAAAGGATTGGAAAGGTAACAAAATAACATCTACATGGTCTGTTAATTTTGTTTACCTTATTTGTCTTTATTTGCCTTATAAAAAGCTGTTTTTCCTAATATTTTTCAAATCCCTTCATTCTCAAAGAATTACACGTTTCTTTAAATCTTTGTTATTACTGTTTGTTCAAATTTGTGTTGCTTTATAAGTTGCTGTCATAAAAAAATAAAAAAGTTATTTAAACTCTCTTTATGTTTTTTTTTTTACTTGCCAACAATATGACAGCCATGCCCCTGACAATCCACTGACCCTTGACAAAGTGCTTTATTCTTAAATTAATTTTAATTTGTAATAATCTACACTCACTTACTCAGACAGAGCTGCAAGTCAATAATTAATCACTGTCTGTATCCAAGTAATGGGGCAACAGCAAAAAGTGTCTACAGTTTACCTGGTTAAAGCGTCGTGTGAAGGCCACTGCGTTGGGTGCTGAACTGTGTTTCTCCTTCTTGTTCCAGCCACAACTAGAGAGCTCCTGAAAAAATAACAAGAGAACAAAAATAGTCATGTAAAAAAAAAAATTCACAGTCCAGTTGGTTTGAGATTGGGAAACTGGACAGAAACAATCAAGTCAACCAAACACAGCAGGAGGCGGCGAATGGTCTACAATGCCAAAAACAAATCAACTCAGGACACCTGAAATAAGGTGAGCATTACTCATGAGCAGTGACCCTAGAAAACATCATTAATATGGCCTCTGACAGCAGAAGTTTGAATCTTTCCCAGTCCGTCACGCTTTGTACACTTGATTTTGCATCCAAACACAGAAGTCATCTCAGACTCAGATGCCAATCATCTGAAAATTGTGTTGATCCTCTGTCTCGCTCGCATGGCGTGACTGATTGACTGAACAAGAATGCAAAAGCTTTTAAAATAATATTTAACAATGTGTATTTGGCAACAACACCATTGGATAAACATCAATCTGACATGCTAAATCTCCAAAACACGAACATGAACACTCAACTCCACCTGTTCTGTCGTCTATGAAACGTCTAAGTGCCAAGAGTAAAGCCGTCGTGACAGTCTCATATACGACATATCGGCCACGCTTGGAAATTCACATTTGGAAACTCCTGACCATAATTATGCAACCGTGCGTTACATAATTACACCAAGCGCTCAGACATTTTCCAGTAGAAAATCGGTTTCAAACGACCTGTTAGCACCATTAAAACACAAAAACAAACTCTGATATGCATTCAACCACACAGAGAGATTTAATTCCCGACAGTTGTCAGTAACGGGAGAAAAGCTGCCTGATTCCATGATAGGACTTCAAGAACAATGAAATTAACCATCAAACATATTCACCACGACTGTTCATCGGGAATGTACCTAACTTAAACCCGGCACCAACACAAGCGCAATCTCTCATGAGGTCACACTGGCAAACAGTGACTTAATGAGTCAGCAACCTTTGGAGGTAGCAGCTTAGCAACATACACAAACACAGATGTGGATATCCGAGCCAACACACACAGAGCTAAGTAAGTGTGCTTTCTGCATTGTGTCTCCAGCACCAACGACCACCAAGATGTGCCAATGAAATCCCTTCTGCTGAATCAAGTTCTCCATGTGCAACAAATCCGAGCCCCTAGTGTAGAGTTCAGAATCTGTGATGAGGAAAATCACCTACTGAGAAATAATGAAACCAATCGCTACCCACTCTGAGAACAAAATAAAAGGTTAATGGCAGATCTCCGTTCTTCTTCTGTGATGCAATGCATTTCTGAGACTAAGGTAGAAGTGAACTGAACAATGACTTTATAAATTTAACTGAATGCTCCAAAGGGTAGCAGCTTAAGTAATATTTGAACTGGTAACCAAAAAGATGCAGGCTGTAAACCCTAAAGAGGGACCTCATCCACAAACAAATCATATTGTACACTAAAATGTCAAGAACTGCCTCATAATCTAATCGGCTGGATTTACGAAAACATGAGGAAGATCCTTAGGCACATCTGCATTTTCTGCTTTGTTTGAGTTGTCCCATTTTACATTTACCTATTTCTAAAATAAATAAATAAATGAGGTTGATTAGTCAGACGGTCTCTTCCTGTCTGATTGGGAGTTTTTTTTTTTTGCAAGAAAAAGGTGCAAAGTAGACCAGTTGATAGTGCTCAAAACAAGAAAACATGAAACCAAACCAAAAACACAACATGCAAAAACAAAACACAAGACACCAATCAAAATAAAACACACGATAAAACAAAAAGCACAACACAAAAATAAAACACAAGTCATCAAACTAAATAAAACAAGACAAAACACAAAACCAAACAAAACAAAAACAACACAGAAAACACAAGACACCAAACTAAAATAAAATGAGACAAAACAAAACAACATACAAGACAAGCAAAAATAACAAAAACAAACAAAAATGAGAACAAATCAAAACAAAAAATATACACAAAAATGTAACCATGCAATAAGCAATAACCAAGCATTTGAATCTGCAGTTGGAAGAGTACTTCCATGACCATAAACTAGATTAAAGAAGAGAAAGCCGCCTAAAGCATCAGTGGGCTGACGTCAAATACTGCGTCTGTCTTATTCTGGCAGTGACAGATTGAATAATGTACAAAGCAATGAACCCAGGGAAACTCATGGAGGAAATAAGGTAAGCAAAAAGACAAGTAGTTTGATGGGGAAACAAATATCCTCTGTTACTCTCAGTTTCATAGATTTCAAACCTTCAAACAAAAACAGGAGGAAGTCAGTTCTGTTCACAGGGAGCACTGCTATATATTTAAGTCTTTAAAGCAGTGGGAAGTCAATGGAAAGGGGATCATAGCTGTGTTTTATGTTCCCTTTCTTTCATGTCTCATGAAAAGGCCTTTACTGTCTCTAAAATGCAACATAATTCTAAGATGTAGCAGCACTGATGTATCTATGTGAGTGCATTTGCACAGATGCTCACTAAAACACACCAGGACAACCTGTCATGCCTTAAACACAAAATCAATTGGCAACTTTATAGCTGTAAAAGGATTTAAATGCATATTCAACCACATTTTTCCCAATTTAAACAACAAAACAAGGCTGTTCTAATACCATTTCAGGAGGTATTCAATTAACCAGCTGGGAATCACAAATAAGATAATGGGAGATGAACAGTAATGGAACCAGTGCTTGGCAGGGATGGCAATGAATAACTGTATGTCAAACACTGGCCTTGTGTCGGATTCCTTATACGACATTAAGTCACTTTACATTAGCTGAACCTTAATATCATCACCTAGTCTGGAAACCTGGAGCTCACCCATAACCACAGCTCAAAATCAGACACAAACAGGGGAGCTGGAAATCAAAAAGTGTGTTGCTTTAGTCATTTTTATTTGTTAGAACTTGCCAATATTTAGTAGTATTTACTAGTAGTTGCCAATATTTCTGATTTGAAGTATTTATTTATTTATTATTTATATTTAATTTTAATTTAGTTAAGAACAACAACACTGGTAAGGAACAGGCTGGAATTGACTAAAAGAGTAGAAAATTGCGTATTGCGTATATTCTGAAGGGTTCACAAACTTTCAAACAACACTATATATATATATTTCTGCAAAAATATGACCCAAAAGAACATCAGATTTTCACAAAAGTCCTGACAGTTGACAGAGAATTCAATCAAACAAATGAGACAAACTTTGTCATTTATTTATTGAGAAAAATGATCCAGTGTTACTTATCTGTCAGTGGCAAAAGTGTGTGAATATTTGATTTCAGTATCTGGTGTGAACCCCTTTTGCGGCAATAACTGCAGCTAAACATTTCTTCTATATAAAATTAAATTTAACTGAAAATCTTCAACTTTCAAATCTCATTTAATTCAAATATTATTTTATATTATCTGGTTATCAGCCATAACATAAAAATGTTTATCAGCATTCCTAATGAAAACTTGCTGGATGAAGACATGTAGAGCCTGGTTTCAATATTAATTATGCCACAATATATACAGAAATACTTTTATGGAGGTTTTTGTCATTTTTATATTACCTTTATTCTATGAAAAAGAGCAGCTTGGACACCTTGTCCTTTTTGTGTTCCACTGGGTTTGGAATGACATGAGGGTGAGAAACTGATGACACAACTTTTATTTTTGAATGAACTATCCCTTTAACTTTTATGCGGCAGAGATGCTGATTTTAATTTAGCCTTTGATAACCTGTGGTTTTCTTTTCTAGGATTGCCTTAGGAGACGCTTTCATTGGCTTTGAAGGATAATAGATCAGCATCTTTAATCAATTTGGTTGTACAGAGCCACATGAATGGTGCACATGTATGTTTAATTGTAAAACTGTCCCTGTTAGTTGCACTGTAATGCGTCTGTAAGCATTAACAGAGGAACCAGTGGGTTTCTCTGGCCTTCATGGCTATGACGCACATTGTCGTTCAGTCTGGCCCGTTTTGGCTGCGACGGAGCAACATGTTGCATACGTACTATCATGAAGAATGCTGGTAGGGTCTCGGAAAAGACCACTGCAGACACACGTGTGCCAATTATAATCTAGCTGCACAGATCACATGGCAGTCAGCCTGACACATGGATATAATACATAACATGAGAGATTATGTTAAAACCAGCACTCTGTCTTCATGTTCTGCTATAAAGGAAATGCAAAAAACATGGTCAAGGGCCCAGCAATCCTGAAAACCATTAGGTTTTCACATTACAAGAAATGGATATTTGTCTGTGATATGCTACACCTTTTCATATACATTACATTTCATTTACACTTTTTTATTTTTTATTTTTTTTACATGCACTTGCTCTGTTGTTTTAATGACCAATTCACTACAAAATTGTGGGGGAAAATAATTAGGATAATTCGGGTTTTTTTTTTCATAAGATAATATTCAATACTATTCTTTTATGATGTATTTTTTATAATAGGCCTAATTTGCTTGGGATGTTTATCCTAACAAGTAATGAGAATAAAATTAAATTAAAATTTGCTGAAAATGTACTCACCCTCAGGTCAGTAAAAAATGTAGGTCGTTTCGTCATCAGAACAGATTTGGAGAAATGTAGCATTACATCACTTGCTCACCAATGGATCCTCTGCAGTGAATGGGTGCCGTCAGAATGAGAGCCAAACAGCGGATAAAAACATCACAATAATCCACAAGTAATCCACACCACTCCAGTCCATCAGTTAATGTCTTATGAAGTGAAAATCTGTGTGTTTGTGAGAAACAATCCATCAAGATGTTTTTATCTTCAAACCGTTGTCCATAATCCATAACATTGCATTCTCCCGTGAAAAAGTCATCTCGACCGAATCAGGAGAGAAATATGCACCGATTAAGCACCATTTACAAGCAAATCTTCATCTAAAACAGTTAACTTGTATGTTTGTGGATTTTAATGTGAGAGAACTCAGTTCCTAAGACTGATGGACTGGAGTCGTGTGGATTACTTGTGGATTATTGTGATGTTTTTATCAGCTGTTTGGACTCTCATTC